CTCAGGGGTTCCTCAAGGTTCAATCCTTGGCCTTATACTCTTTTTAATATACATTAACGATCTTCCAGATATTCTCACATCTAAGGTGGCATTGTTCGCTGATGATACTACCATTTATTCTTGTCATGATAAGAAGCCAACTTCCTCTGATTGCTTGCAGGGGGCATCTGAGCTTGAAAAGGTTCTCATTTCTGCCACAGCATGGGGCTCACAGTATCTGGTGAACTTTAATTCAGATAAAACTCAATTTTTTTCAGCCAATCGTTGTCGCAATAATTTAGACCTTCCTATATTTATGAGCGTTAGTGTACTCGATGAGTCTCCTACCCTTCATCTTCTAGGATTAACTCTTACTTCTGATCTTTCTTGGAAACTTTATATCAAATCAGTTGCAAAATTAGCATCTGCTAAAGTCACTTCTCTTTATCGATCTCGTCACTTTCTTACTCTGGATTCTATTCTCTATATCTATAAACCTCAAATCCGGCCTTGTATGGAGTACTGTTGCCATATCTGGGGCGGATCTTCTAATGATGCCCTTTCTCTTTTAGACAAGGTGCAAAAACGCATTGTAAACATAGTTGGACCTGCTCTTGCAGCCAACCTTCAACCTCTGTCACATCGTCGTAATGTTGCTTCTCTTTTTCTTTTCTACAAATACTATAATGGGCACTGCTCTAAAGAGCTAGCGTCTCTTGTGCCATTTACTAAAACTCATTCTCGTGTTACTCGTCATTCAATTAAGTCTCATCCTTTTTCTGTTACTGTTCCTAAGTGCTCCAAAAACTCTTATTCGTCTAGTTTTTTTCCTCAAACATCAGTTCTTTGGAATTCCCTTCCTTCATCTTGCTTTCCTGATTCATATAATTTGCAATCTTTTATGTCGTCTGTCAATCGCTATCTTGCTCTACAATCTTCATCTTTTCTCTTCCAGTAACTTCCAACACCAATTAGTGCTTGCTTACAGCCTTGTTGGAAGCAAAGATGTTTAAAAAAAAAAAAAATTACAGTTTTTTTGAGCAGATCATTTTAATGTGCATTATATTTTTTTATTTTTGCTCAAATTGAGACAAATTTATATAATTCATTATAATTGATATAGAAAATAAATAATTTATTATAAAATATAAAAATTATTATGTTATAATTTTGTTTTTAATAAATTTATATTATATATATAAGTTTGAGCAAAATAAAAAAAAAGCAGTTAAAACATCCTAATATATATATTTTATATATATATATATATATATATATATATATATATATATATATATATATATATATATATATATATATATAATACATACAAATATAATATATATGTATATATCATGCCTTGTTAAGAAATGTTTTGCTTGCATTTTATGTGCGAGGAGACGGTTTGCCTACGCCTATAGCAGTTTTACGTTACACGAATACTTATATATTTTAGAATATTAAAATTATCTTTTCATGTTGTTTATGTGACGTTTTATTCAGAAGATCTTTGGTCGTAAATAAAAGCATTTAATGGCAATTGTGAACTAATTGATTTTTAGGTAAAAAAAAAAATTTGTTTAACAATTTTTTTTTTTAGTTAAAAATGAATTCAATAAAAAATAGCGTTTTAAGTTTAAACTTACATTTTTAAAAAAATACATAAAATTGCTTATGGTTAACTTAAATTATTTAAGTTAATCATAAGTACTGCCTGATCATCGATTCGCAAGACCCAGGGCCGAAGTCATGGGTAGTGTGAGAAAGAGGTTGTTGCCTTTTCCCGACCCCCTATCCTCCTTGAAAAGAGGGAAGACTCAACATTTGACTTATTATACAAATTATGAAATAAATGACCTAATAGTGTCAAAGTTGCTTTTTCGAAGTTTTTCCATTATCGAATATTTTTTAGATTGATCATATAAAGAACATTGATTAGAAATGTTCAACAAGTTTATGAGTAGTAAACAAATATTTTACCAAAGTCAAGTTCTTTAAAAAAAAGATTGTTGATAGTTTTTTGCTTTGCTTAAGCAGTGTTTAAAACTGTAAAGTAGTATGAAATTGTAGTTATAAATAAATGAAACTTGTAACAACTATTAGAAAGAAACAAAATAAAAACATATCTTTTTAATATGCAATGGCACACCTTCCTGACCAAGACTCTGTGTGTGTGTGTGTGTGTGTGTGTTTATATATATATATATATATATATATATATATATATATATATATATATATATATATATATATATATATATATATATATATATATATATATATATATATATATATATATATATATATATATATATATATATATATATATATAATATATATATATATATAATATATATATATATAAAGAGAGAAAGAGAGAGAGAGTGTCTTGGTCAAGAAAGCGTGCTATCGCATTTCATTATATGATTGATGCAAATGATGAGTTGATCATGGCTGTTGATATGTTTTGAAAAGTTGAATATTTCAAAAATTGGTTGAAAAATATTTAGACTTTACTAACTAAATGTAGACTTAACATAAAAATTAAACTTATCAAAAAATGAAATAAAATGAATTTAACTAAAATGAAAACAAAAAAAATAAAAATTTAACTCAACTAAAATAAAAACTTAAAAAAGTAAAACACTTTATTTAAATTAAGTTCTAATTACGTTTAATAAACTTTGAATCTAACTTGAAATAAACTTGAATCTCTTGACTAATGATTTTATATTAAAATGGGAAACTCTTTAAAATAAAGTAGCAAGTTGTATTGTTTAATAAATATGCACATTTAATTTAATGGTTTTTTTATTACTAATTTAAAAATAGTAAATTTCTTAGTAAATAATTATGCAAAAAAAAAAAAGACAATTTGACTTTATTTTAACCAACCCTCGAAATTAGGAAAAAGGAGGTCGGTAATAATTTGTTGACCTCAATCTTTTAGAGGTCGGCATCAGGTATACAAACAGGTCTTACCATTAAGCATTGAATTGAGGTCAACATTTCTTTGTCAACCTTAAACACTTTGAGGTTGGCAGTTAGGTCAGCATTGCCAAATGCCGACCCTAATACCGAGGGTTGGTTTTATCATACATTTTTCTAAATGTACATTTATTCATAGAAAATAATACATAATAAAGGAAAATAATTACATCTTTGAAATCTTTTGTTAAGCATATGGCTGTCAAAAACATCTTTTTTTCAAGGAAAGATTAATGCCTGTAGAATTGCGTAAGTAACTTTATTATTATCTTCAACTTTGAAAACGATCTTTCTGCTGTAACTACACTTACAGGTAGTTTCATGAACAACACCAGTGCGGCAATGACGTCTTCAAAACTTATTGATGTTGTAGCATATTTTATCATTTATAGCTCTGCAAATTCATTCATACTTGTAGTTTTAACAAATTTTCTTTCTAAGTATACCAGGTACCATTACAGTTTGTAGTGGAAATTCTGTTGCAAGGCACTTTGATTATTCGATTTCTTTCCAATTGGTTTTAAAAAATTTGTAAGTTTGGGAATTTTAACTTTTTACTTCTAAAAAAACATTTAACATTTTACTTCTAAAAAAATAAGTAGAGTATATGTATTTTTCAAAACTTTGCAATGGCTTCCAGAATGGCAAATACTTTTTGTTTAACAGAAGAATTTTAAGAAAAATAAAAAAAAGTTATTTTGGTAAAAGTTATTAAAGGGAAAAATGAAAAAATCATAGATAAATTTAAAGAAAAGAACATAGAAAAAAAAAAAAGAACAAATTAAGACTTGAAAAAAAAAAGTAATAAATAAACAACAAAGAAATCTAAAGAAGTTAATGTAATGTAATATGAAAGAACATAAATAAAGAAAAAACAACAACAATTTATTAAATCAAATATAAATTTGAATAAAAAAGAACTGATAAAAATATTTTTAACATGTATATTTTAAAAGTGTTATGTTTCTAGTTATGTATCCTTCCATTTGTTTTCTTATGTATCCATTAATTTGTGCATATATATTTTGTTTGTGTGTTTGTTTTAGTTGTATTAGTAAGTATTTTTTTGTAATCACTATTTTTATCACCTGTATTATTTACATTAACTCTAATTAATATTAATTATCATTAATGCTTTTCATTTGGTTTTTTATCTGCAAATTTAATTATAGAAGTTTTTAATATCTTGACATAACATAAGAAGGTTTATCCTAAGTCTTTTGTATTTATTTTTAAATTTCTTCAAGTCTTGTTTACAATTCTTTTTTATTACACAAGACACAGTATCTATTCATGAGAAATATTTACAGAAAAACCTTTATAGTTATTTTTAGAGTTGTGTAAATTAGAGGATCACAAAATAATAAACCAGTTAAATTTAGGTTTTACATTAACAAGTTTCATTTATTTTTTATACATTGTTTTAATTTCAGATTCTGAAATAGTTAGTATATCAGACCATGGGCTTAGAGTCGACATCCTGCAGTAATGACTTAACTACCAACATAAAAGTTTCTATGTAAATATGTAAAAAAATGAAATACACAGAATTATGAAATACTAACCACTTTATATGTAAAAAGTTTTTTGCCAATTTGTTTCTATGTTGTTATGGTAAAAGCTTTGTATTAAAAATTTTGTGCCAACCAAAAGTAGTTTAATGTTGGCAGTTTATTGTTGACCTTATTATATCTAATTCTGAGGGCAGGTATATATAGTAGCATCATTATCATGATCATTAAAATTTGGTAATATTTGAATTAGTACTTTGTGAATGTCCAAGTATTAGTAGTAATAAAGATATTTTGTAGTAATAAGTAAAAAATATTTTGAATTGACATGGTATAAGTATGGTATAAGTATGGCATAAGTATAATATAATGATTAAGAAAATATAGTTAATAAGTAACATTTAATAAAACATATTTTTTTGTTTGTTTAATAAATACTTTTAATTTTACTGAGTTTTAACTTTTGTTCAGAAAGATTTTATTTTACAACATTAAATAATCTGTAATTTTTTTAATTCTTAGTTAAGCATACAAAAAAGTAGAAATGATGATGCTGGAAGCTACACAGAGTTAGTTCGAGACTTTCTTGATCCATCAGAATTTCACAGAGCTGTTCGTAAACAAGGGATAAGTTTTTTTACTGGTGTTCCAGATTCTTTACTGAAAGATTATTGTGCTTATGTCACTGCAAATGAAGCTGAAGGTTCTCATGTAATATCTGCCAATGAGGGCTCAGCTGTTGCACTTGCTGCTGGATATCATTTTGCAACTGGGAGAACTGCTTTAGTTTATTTACAGGTAAAATTAATGTTTTTAGAAAAAAATGTTTTTTAATGTTTATCAGAAAAAAAATTTTTTTTTCATGGATTTTCGAAAAAATGGTTTTTTAATATGGTTTTTAGAAAAAATGTTTTTTTAATATAGTTTTTAGAAAAACATGTTTTTTTAATATGGTTTTTTTAAAAAAAATGTTTGTTATTGTTTTAAACATCTTGCTTTTTTAGTTAATTTTTTTTCAGCAAATGTTATATAATATTTAACATACTTAATTTTAATTTAAAATATTTGGCCAAATAAAGCAGGAAAAAAGCAGGGATCAATTCATTGTAGTTTGAGCCCATTTCAATCTATAAATTATTTATTTAAAAAAATTAGATTTTAAAAAATTGGACTTTCAAACAATCAATACGAGAGAATGTGAATTAAATATTTGTAATGCTTAATGGAGAGATGTTAATATGGCAACAGATAATTCTTAAGAAATCGGTTTTTGTTAACTTGTCTTAACAAATTAACAAAAACCAATTTTTAAGTAAAAATGTATAACTTCTTTAAGGAATCCCAAACCTCTGATACATGTTGTGTTCAAATTAAAGAGAATGATAAAAAAAATTGTGTTAGCGATTATTTTTTTTGATTAAAACAAAAAAATAAATACATACCAAGAAAAACTAACTTTTTTATTTTAGTCAAAGCTTGCCTTATCTTTTTTGTTGTAGGCCAAATAGTCATCATAATATACGTTTCAATTTACAGATTTGATAATTCAAGCGCGTTTAATTCCTATTAGTTTTAATACATGACGTCATTAATTTTTTTGTTTGTTCACATAATCCATCTTTCAAACAAAAAAACCATGTCACTAAAACTCTTAGGAATAAAAAGCGCTTGAATTATCTGTAGATTGCAATGTATATTATGATGACTATTTGGCCTACAACAAAACGAAGACAACAAGCTTCGACTAAAATAAAAATATTATAAAAATTTCATAAATTCTATTTACTTTTTAACTCAGATCAGTTAAAAAGTAAATAGAATTTATGAAAACTCTATGATCAGTAGTTAAAAAATAGCAAGAAGATAACAAGTTTCAGAGAGTTACGTCAGAAATATTTTGAAAATGTTTAAAAGAATAGGTGGTATCTAGCAACATGCAGGATTTGGAAGGTTAAAAAAACTAAAGATTACTAAAACAGTCTTTTATTTTATCAAGTAAGAGCTAATTCAAAGTTAAATTATTGTGAATTTACAGACTCATTCAACTAAAACCATGAGAATAGTTTTCTTCAAATACAAACCAATTTACTTAGGAAAAATATTAGTTTTTATGCAGCTGAAAGAAAATCTATGCTGATGACCAGAGATCAGTTCACAAGATTAATGTGATGTAAGGAAAGAATTGGGTGGTCTTCAGAAAAGTTGAAGAAAGTTTTAACGATGAAGTAATAATTAGAAAAGACAACGTTCTTGTAAAAAAGATTTAAAAATAAATTTAAAAAGTTATTTTATTGTTGTACTAAAGTTTCAGGGTGGCAGTAGGAGTGTTAGTATTTTGGTCTGGTTTGATTTTCACATAGTGTGTAATAATTACCTATGTTAGGATGCTAGAGAACTGCATGATTCCATCAGTGAACATGCTGATTGATCAACATGAATAGTTGCAGTTTCAACAAGATATGAGACCTGTTCACACAACTTGTATAGTTAAAGTATGGATGAATAAAAAAAAAAAAAAGTAATTGCCTTGGCCACCTCAATCACCTTAATTTGAATCCAATTGAATCTGTTTGGACTTGGATAGAAAAAAAAATTAGTCAGTGTACGAATAAGATCTATAAATAGCCTAAAGCAAGAAATATATACCGTTTGGAGAAGAGTTTTTTTTTTTTTTTTTTTTATTTTAATTCACCTCCTCAAGGCGGAGAAGGCTACTACAGGTGAGGAGGCTACTTATTTGCGGTTATAACCCTCTCTCAACTCTATAACTCCGAAACACGAACCTTGACGAGCAAGGCCGCTGCGCGGAGAAACGAGAAACGAGTTCCAACTGAAGTTTGCAATTAAATTGTTATATTGATGCAAAAAAGATGTGTAGCTTGCTGCTTATTTTTATTACGCCTAATTTGATTTTACAGTTTTTTTTATAAATGTTTTTATTTTATTTTGTTCCATAACATTTTTATAAATACTTATATTTATGTTTTTGTAAATATAGTTAATGATTGTTTTAAAGCTAACAATCGATTAGCAATACTTGTAAATAATTGTAAATGTATGAAGACATATATATGTATAATATAAAGATATAATTGTAAATGTTAAATTGCATTAAGATACATAAGGCATTTTGCACTTAACTTGTAAAGATCTTTTTAATGTGAAACAACAAGCTATTTTGGCAAAAATATTGACTAAAATTGATTTAAAGTTTTTAACCTCCGGTTAAAAACTTTAAATCAATTTTAGTCAATATTTAAGTGCAAATGATCAACAATCAGTTGCAGAGTGGCTGGGAAAAATGAGACTTTTTGCAAAACCCGGCCCCTGCAACTTTATAAGATTTAGCAGGGGTTTAAAGCCGGGCTAGAAAAAAATTCTAGCCGGACTAGAAAAAAAGCCAGGCTAGAAAAAAAATTTATAATACTTAATATATTATAGGGTCAAAATATATTTATATAAATTTAAATAAATCATTATATTTCAACCAATTTTGAGAAAATTTTGTGGGGCACCATCTCAGATTTTGCTAATTTTTACATATCATTATCTACATTATGTAGATAGGTTAAATTTGAAAGTTCAGAAAATATAGCTTCATAAACAATGCGCAGTGGCCCCTCTCGATTTAAGAATTGTAAAAACAGACTACTTTAATGCCTCATAAGATTTTCCTATCTTTTAACAAGTGGCTCATTTTTTCTAGAAGTGTTTTCTGGGTAGTTCTGTGTTAAAAATACTGTTTTTTTTAACTTGTATCATATTAGAAAAAATTTATAGCGTCCTCAACTTCAAAAAAAGATTGAAAAACTCTAAAAAAGGCCAAAATGAAGTTAACTGTAGTAGTTTTCTATTCATCAACAAGTCTTTACAGTTTAGTTTTCTGATTAGCTACTATTATCTGCAACAAATAGACAAAAAATAAGCTGCTTGTTGCAGTTAAGAACTGAAATATATCTAAAAATGTATTGTCCATCTGCCAATAAAATCCCATTTTCAGCCATTTTGAAATGCTCATAATTTTTTCTAACACTTTGTATTGATCTAAGCTTATAACAGCAATTAAGACAATAAGATCCCACTATCTGAAAATGCAAACATTCTTTACTTGTTAAATTCACAACAAAAATGGCAGCATTTTAAAATAACCCTATTTTTCAATTATTGAGGGTTGTGCGTATTCTTGGAAACCAGCGCTCCCCCCAACCTGCCTTATAGCATATTCAATGGGTGCAACTGATTATAAGTTGTTTCTTAAAAAAATGTCAGATATGGTTGATTGCCCCCATGTTGATCTGGTTTTTAACCTTGGTAGGGGCACAAATAAAGGGTCAATAACTAACTAAACTCTGTAATATTGGTAAATAGTGATACTTTAAACATAATTTACACAATTAAGGAATGTTATATCTTAAAGTCAAACCTTTGTTGTTTTACATAATTAATGTTGAACAATTTTTCATAAGAATTTTAATAAAGGAAAAACTCAAAACTTGTTAAAAACCACTCAACTTATTAGGTTTGGCTTTTACTTTTTAATTGATAATTAGTTGCTAATGTTCAAAACAATTAATACAGTATAATTTATTTAATCTCTTTTTTATTAGATAGGAGTAAAACCCTCTTGTGTTATGGAGCTCAGACTCATGCGGTAGTGGTCTAGTGGTAGATAGCTCGCTTCATAAGCGAGAGGTTCCGAGTTCAATCCCTGCCATGTCCCTGGTAGTACCGCGCTCAACTCGTTTCTCCGTGCAGAGGCCTTGTTCGTCACGGTTCGTGTTTTGGAGTTATAGAGTTGAGAGAGGGTTATATAACCAAAAATAAGTAGCTTCCTCGTCTGTAGTGGCCTTCTCGGCCTTGAGGAGGTGAATTAACAAAAAAAAAAAAAAATGTAATGTCACTAACTGGATACAAATAAGTATCTGGTGTTTTTGGATATTTCAAATAATTGCCAGCTTTATGTAAATAGCAGACAGATATATAGTCACCTCTTATAAGAGACCTCAATGTTAGCTTCTCTTTAGATTATTTAATAGGAAATTAGAACAAAAGTTTCATAATGAGAATAGTATTTCACAGAAAATAAATTACTCACTATAAGTTCCTCTCCATCAGACCATTCAGTAAATAATAGGTGAATTTAAAACAACACAATATATGGTAAAACATGCTAGAGCTTTGGAGGACACTAATCCTTGGTGAGAGAGCAACTTACATAAGAAATAAAAAAAAAAAGACTTCCAAAGTTATAAATCAAATTGTCAATTTTTATGAAGATGATAGTAATAGCAGGTTATTGCCAGTTGCAAAGGATTATATTAGCATAAAAACAGTTAAAGATCATTATACAATGTTTTAGAACTATACCAACAATGGATAGAAGAATCAAAGTCTAATGATATAGTTAAGGTGGGATTTACATCATTTGCTCTATTAAGGCCAAAACACTGTGTACTTGCTGGAAAATCTGTCACCCAAACCGTCTCTGTTTGTATCCACCATCAAAATCCAAATCTAATGGTAAAAGTATTCAAAAATGAAATAAAGTTAAAAAAACTAAGGGCCTTAGCTGTATGCTCATTAGAAAATAAAGAATTGGTGTTTCACGAGTGTAAAAAGTATCCTGGAAAAGAAAACTGATAGATACTGCTTGAAAACAATAGTAAAAAGCCGTGATAAGTTTCATGAAAAGTCAGCAAACAACTTAAATAAATTCACAAAACATTATTATATCAGCAAATTTCAGACACTTTTTAAAGCAGTTAAAAAAACAACCTGAAAACAAATCATTTGTCATACAGGATTATGTTCAGGCATTATATTTTTCTAAAAATCAGGTAACTCTTCATTCATTTTAAAAATGTCATTTATTGCACTTTCTTGTCTAAATGTACGTGAATTTTCTAAATTTTTTCAAATAATGGATGTCTTGTATCCTATATTGTTATGGACTTCTAATTGAAATAAAGATAATAGCTTATATTCTTATATTCTTATATTCTTAGTTATAAAATTAGTTAGTATATATAGTATATATAGTATATATATAAAATTAGTTAGTATATATAGTATATATATAAAATTAGTTAGTATATATAGTATATATAGTATATAGTATATATATCTTAGTTATAAAAATCTTATATTCTTAGTTATAAAAAGTCAATCCTCTAAAACAAACATTGAACGTTTTGCTATAAAAGTTTTTTTGAGGAAAATTTTAGAGAAAATGGTACTTTAAAGCAAGAGCTTACTAAATGTATTTTAAAAATTATATTCTTGGATTGTAAGATTTATGTTAAAATTTTTTTAGATTTCTCTATATTTCTGAAAACAAAACAGCTGTTACATGAAATACTTGCTAAATGATTTAAGCATGCTCCTGCTATTAAAGGAACCCACTCATATCATGGTTTCTCACCTTATCCGATTGTTTAAAAGCTATCTTATTCCGTTGTTTAAAAGCTTATGTAACATCAATGTTGCACAACATTTGACATTTTTCACATGCTAGATGATACTTGCATTGATACTCAAAAGTCAGTAAGTGTTGACATCAGTATTGCTGATGGGTATTAATATACTATTTTAGTGAATTTTTCCATGGAAAGGTAATAGATGATAAAGGCGACTATATATCTGTCAGTTATTTACATAAAGCTGGCAATTATTTGAAATATCCAAAAACACCAGATACTCAATTGTATCCAGTTAGTGACATTACATGAGTCTGAGCTCCATAACAAAAAAGGGTTTTACTCCTATCTAATAAAAAAAAAAGATTAAATAAATTATACTGTATTTATTGTTTTGAACATTAGCAATTAATTATCAATTAAAAAGTAAAAACCAAACCTAATAAGTTGAGTGGTTTTTAACAAGTTTTAAGTTTTTCCTTTATTAATCATTGTTTATTTTTATTATAGAAGTTATATTTTATTATATTTTTAAGCCCCCTGATGTACCATGAATATCCTCTTAATATATTATGAAATTCTTATGAAAAATTGTTCAACATTATGTAAAACAACAAAGGTCTTTGACTTCGAGATATAACATTCCTTAATTGTGTAAATTATGTGTAAAGTATCACTATTTACCAATATTACAGAGTTTTAGTTAGTTATTGTCCCTTTATTTGTGCCAAGGTTAAAAACCAGATCAGCATGGGGGCAATCATTTTTTTAAGAAACAACTTATAGTCAGTTGCACCCATTAAATATGCTATTAGGCAGGTTGGGGGCGCTGGTTTCCAAGAATGCGCACAACCCTCAATAGTTGAAAAATAGGGTTATTTTAAAATGCTGCCATTTTTGTTGTGAATGTAACAAGTAAAGAATGTTTGGATTTTTAGATAGTGGGATCTTATTGTCTTAATTGCTGTTAAGCTTAGATAATACAAAGTGTTAGAAAAAATTATGAGCATTTCAAAATGGCTGAAAATGAGACTTTATTGGCAGATGGACAATACATTTTTAGATATATTTCAGTTCTAAACTGCAACAAGCGGCTTATTTTTTGTCTATTTGTTGCAGATAATAGTAGCTAATCAGAAATCTAAACTGTAAGGAATTGGTGATGAATAGAAAACTACTACAGTTAACTTTATTTTTGCCTTTTTTAGAATTTTTCAATTTTTTTTCGAAGTTGAGGAGGCTATAAATTTTTTCTAATATGATACAAGTTAAAAAAAAAAACAGCATTTTTTACACAGAACTACCCAGAAAACACTTCTAGAAAAAATAAGCCACTTGTTGCAGGCCTTGTTTTAAATAAAAAAGTGCTTAATGGAATAGCTTAACACAATTTTGACGTCATAAAATTATCTTTATTTTTTTTATAGACGTTAAGTGTTTTAACTACCGCAATAAATAAATAACCGCTAACTAGTTCAATTTAACAACTAACTCAAATAACTATTTCTGAAACTTGTTTTTGAATAATTGTTTTTAATTGCTATTGAATGAAAAATAATGTTGACGTGTTGCATACACCAAAATGAATTGCATGATTAAAATAAAACTGATCAACAATGCCCATTAATTGCATAAGCTTCTTGTTAATTGCTGCACCATCATGAGAAGAACCTAATACATTTTTTTCCATAGAGACACCAAATGAGTTTTATCGTATTATTCTATAAAATTTCTATTCGTGTTAGTTCGTATTAATCGAAACACCATCTGTAGCTAGATCAACTACAATTTCTTCAAGGTTCATTTTTTGTGAATTACTGTCCATAGCTTTAATTATTTTTTCTGGAAGTGGATTTGAGATGCTGCTTGATTCTCCAGTCAAAGGACTATTGATAGTAATTCCATAACGCAAAGTATGATTCCAAAAAGTAATGGTGGATCCACCGGAGCATGTTATGACAGAACTGCACCTACAATAGATGCCTTCAACATCTCTTGATTTTGGAATTTTACTCCGGGTAGCAAATTTCCAAACTAAGGATGTGATTTATCTGGAAGATAAACATATTTTTAAAAAGTTAAATAATTGGTAGAAGCATTATTGTGAATTATTTTTATTACATACCTATACGTTATTATTTTATTGAATCAAAGTATACATTAAAAATATCCGTATGTTTTTTTAAGGAATAAAAATCTTTAATATAAAGAATAGGCTATTCTATTTGAGTATTCAAATACTTTATATTCGAATATATTTGCGTGTTTTATTCAATATTCGAACATTTTTTTTGAATGAAAATACATGTTAAGCTTTCCAGCAAAATACAATCTAAATAATAAAATAAAAATTAATTACTTACAAACTTGATTTTTTATACCTTTTTGTAATAAATAAACATTTAAAAGACATTATACAAAATAACCGCCAAAACTGTTTTTGAAAACCAATGGTTTTTTATTTAAATTGGTTTGACAAAAAACTGCGGTTTTTGGTTATCGGTTAAAACCAATTGGAAACCCTACTTATAAAGATTTTTTTAATGTGAAACAGCAATTTTATTATGTTATAACATTTTTATAAGGTTATAACATTTTTATAATTGTTTGTTTTAGTATGTCATCCAATATGCAAGATTTATTTAAGAAATATTTCTCTTTTAAAATTAAAAAATATTTATATATATTTTTTTAAATTTTAATTAAACAGGTTTTTTTTTATTTATTAACAAATTAATTGGCAGGGTTTTTTTTAAATTTATTTGTTTGTTTAAATAACTAAGTTTGTAACTAAAAATTTTATTTTTCAAGAACTCAGGTCTTGGAAATATTGTTAATCCTATGATGTCTCTTGCCACACCATCTGTATACAGTGTTCCAATGCTGTTGTTGTTAGGATGGCGAGGTGAACCTGGAAAACGAGATGAACCTCAACATGTCACAATGGGTCAAGCAACACCTGGAATTCTTGGTGGGATTTTAATAAATATTTTTTCAATTTTTTAAACTCAGCTTAATTTTAAACTTTATTGTTATTCATTCAGTTTTTATAAGCATGAATAATAAGCAAAAACTGAGACTTTTTGCAAACCTGGCCCCACCTTCGACCCTGGCAAAATTATAAGATTTAGCAGTGGTTGATAGCTGGGCCTAGAAAAAAATTTATAATATTTTATATATTATAATTTTATACTTACATTTACTATTTATTAAAATATATATTTATTAAGATATTTATATATTTTTAAACACTAGTTTACTTTAGTTAATGACACTGTTGAAGACTTTCCAAAAGTCTCTAGAACCTAACATCTGTGATAAGATGCAAGATTTAGTAAAATAAGATAGAAGATTTAGTAAACTGGAAATAACAGAGCTTAACATCAGACAAGACCTTTTTACATTAGCTTCTTGCAATTATAAAAAGACATTTGTTAAGAAAAATGTTCTTGTAAAAAAGATAAAAAAATTGTTACAAGTTAATAAAGTACCTGCTCAAGATGGTGAAAATTGTGGAGTAGTAGGCTTGACTTGAAATTGAAAAGTAGGAATAAAAACTTCCAAACTTTTATTCTAGAAAGAATATAAGCTTCCAAGATGCGCATTTATCCATATATAATAGGATATTAACATTTATTTTGATACTGGCAACAATTTATTTTGATGCTGGCATACAATATCCTTACATATTTATTTAAACTTTTGTATTTATATGGTGTAGTATTTGTCGAAAGAGAAGATGATCAGGTGGATGTGTGATGTGATTCTAACAGGACAAAAAAAGGAGGCATAATCTTTTACATATTAGAAAAAAATGTTATATTGAAAAATGTTTGTTAAAGAAGATTAAAATGACTTAGATATTAGCGTGTAGAGAGGTAGCAGTTTTAGAAGAAAATGGTGGTGGTTGAAGTAAGAAAACTTGAAGAGTGCCTTACATATTGTATGAATGAGCTTTAGTTAAGGAAAGAAAATGCTCTAGATTGTTCATCTAGAAAATGATCTAGAAAAATTGCATAAGAAAAGGAAGATAATGATGATGATGATTATGATGATGGTAATCATGATTATGATGATCATGTTGATCATAATGTTTATATACGCATGTTGATCATAATGTTTGTATATGCAAAATAAACATCATTATGATCAATTTGAATAAAAATATATACTTTAAAATGTATAAATCTTTATGCAGCCCTGTTCACAAACCCGGCCTGGCCCCAGGTATATTTTATTTATGGCAACCCTGGTCCTGGTTAAATTTCAACCCTAGTCGCTTACTAGCAGCACTCTTTTGTGGCAGCAGGTTTGCAGCAGTTGACTAAAGATGTTAGGCCAAGTTGTGCACATTTGGACTTGTATCTAATGTAACTATTGCAATTTGTAACTAATTTTTTTATGTCATTTGGTGTTTTACTACTCTCTACTTTATTCAATTATAGCACAGACATAGGTAGATTAGAGTTTTTTTTCCACGAACGTTGTTCTATATCAAATCATCCACACAATAAAATTTTGTCACCCATGTCTCAAAATTGTTTTCTTCTCAGATCATTTGCCAAGAACTTTTCCACCATCTAAATATCTTTTTTCTAAATGTGCTCAAATTAAGTCAATTTCCTCCTTTGAAAATAACTTTAAATAAATGCCAATTATTTTGGACTAAATGAGTACATTAAATTAACATTCAAAATCCCACTCTTTTAACAGCTTCACAAATACCATAAAAGAGGGATTTTTTTAATGTTAATTAACACTGCAGTCGAGAAAGCTACTTTAATATAATTAGCTCTTTGATATATTTAGTTATATCTTGAATTTTATAAACAAACCCTGTGTCATGATTAACATCTTCTGAAAGGTATCATTTATTTTTGAGAAATCTATTGAAAATATACTGTCAATGCTGTCAAGTTAACTTGATAACTTGATAATTAAAAATAATCAAATTATTGTCCTGGACAGCAAATTAATTATTTTCAGCAAAATCTTCTAAAATTAAGCATTCATTTTGATTTAGATTTTTATACAGTTTTTCAAGTATCTACTTTGTGTTTTTGCCATAAATAAATGTTTTGTTCACATACCAGCTAATATATTTCATCAATGCAGCATGCACTCCATGTTTTCAAGGGAACAAACAATTTAATTTATAAAATCTATATAAAATTTGATGCATTAGTTGTAATGCACCACTAAATTGCTCTTTTAAATTTGCTCACCTTAATATTTCTTATTTTTATTTTTTTTATTTTTTTATTTGCATTCACTCCCAACAAGGCTGCAAGCAACCACTATTAAGTTGGGAGTTACTAGGAAAAAAAAGAACAGAGTTATAGAGCAAGGAAACGGTTGACAGAAGACTTGAAAAGTTGAAGGTTGTATGAGTCAGGAAAACATGAAGATGGGAGAGAGTTCCTAAGGATTGAAGTGCGGGGAAAAAAACTAGATGAATAAAAGTTTTTAGAGCATGCAGGGACAGATACAGTAAACGAATGAGACTTAGCTGAATGACAAGTAAAACGAGAATGAATTTTAGTTGATGGAACTAGAGATGATAACTCCTTTGAGCAGTGACCATGATAGTATTTGTAGAAAAGAGAAAGAGATGCAACTTTACGACGATGGGAAAGAGGTTCAAGCTTAGCAGATATTCCAGGTCCAACAACATTTGCAATGCGTTTTTGGACCTTGTCAAGAAGAGAAAGTGAATCGTTAGAAGAACCAGCCCAAATATGACAACAGTATTCCATGCAGGGATGAATAAAAGATTTGTAGAGGTAGAGAATGGAATCAGAAGTAAGGAAATGGTGAGCACGATAAAGAGAAGCAACTTTAGCAGAAGCTAATTTAGCAATCGATTGTATATATGGTTTCCATGAAAGGTCAGTAGTAAGCGATAATCCAAGTAGGCGTAAAGAGGAGGACTCAGTAAGAGGATTGCCATTCATTAATATAGGAATGTTCACCATATTACGGTAGTTGTTTGCAGTAAACAACTGGGTTTTTTTAGAGTTGAATTTCACAAGCCACTGTGAACCCCAATCTATTACTGAAGTGAGATCGGATTCAAGATCAGCTGCTTGTTCTAGGCGATCGAAAAGAGAAGACTTTTTGTCAAGACAGGAGTATAAAGTTGAGTCATCAGCAAAAAGAGCTACTTTAGATGAAAGGTTGTCAGGAAGATTGTTTATGTAGATAAGAAACAAAACAGGACCCAGGATGGAACCTTGTGGAACCCCAGAAGTTACTGGAAATAAAGAAGAGTGTTGGCCTTCAAGGATGACTTTAATAAACCGGTCAGAAAGAAATGATTTGATAATCTCAAAAACTTTTCCAGAAACACCATATGAAGCAAGCTTATGGAGAAGACCAGCATGCCAAACTTTGTCGAAAGCTTTAGATATGTCGTGAGCAATAGCCCTAGCCTCACCGCCTCCATCTAATGCACGATAAAATCTTTCATTTACAGCAGTTAGCAAGTCAGCCATAGAGCGAGAGGATCGAAAACCGTATTGATTGTCTGACAGTAGTTTATTTGACTCAAGATGAGATGTGAGGAATTTGTTGATCAAAGACTCAAAGACCTTGCTAATAACAGAAAGAAGACTGATCGAACGATAATTGGAAGGGTCAGAATTTTCTCCAGAGTTTTTGAATATTGGAACCACAGATGCCATTTTCCAACAAGCAGGAAAACAAGACTCAGTCAAACACTTGTTAAATAGTTTAGAGAGAATTGAAGAAAGTTCTGGAGAACAATTCTGCAAGACTGTGACAGGAATGTTGTCTGGACCACAAGCTGTAGACGAGTTTAATTGAGATATGACTTTAGCAACAGAAGCCGGAGTGATTTGAATGTCTAACAATGGGTCAACCTGTTTGACTGGAATGGAAGGAAGAGAATGTCCATAAGATTCAAGAGTGGAATTAGAAGAAAAGTTCTTTGCAAATAGTTCTGCCTTATCCTTGGGAGAGGTAATAAGATCAGTCCCATGAATGAGAGATGGAATGTTAAATCTACCCTTGTTAATAATTCTGTTGAAGATTTTCCAAAAGTCTTTAGAACCTAACTTCTGCGATAAGATGCGAGATTTAGTGAACTGAGAATAATTTTAAAAAAGATGAAAAAAATGATTATGATTGGATATAGCAGCCGCACAAGAAGGAGAAAACCATGGAGTAGAATGAGGAAAAATATCAGCCCAAGGACCATCACGAAGAAAATCACGAAAGGAATCCCAGTCAGCTTTAGGGTAGTAGTAGGTGGTGTGATTATAAGGTGAGCCCAAAAAAGAAGTACGAGAAGAAAGATTTATAGAGATCATTGCATGGTCAGAACCACCTAAGGGAGAAAAGGGAGAAAGTGAACAAAAGCTAGGGTCATAGACAAGACATAAGTCAAGGAGTGAAGGTAAATGATAAGGGTTGTCAGGAAAACGAGTCACAAAGTTAACTATCTGAGTAAGAGATTGAGAAACGCAGTTGAAGGCTTTAGTGCAAGCAGTATCAGTGGTGTTAGAGCCAAGCCATTCAGTTTGATGGGCATTAAAATCACCAACAACAACAATATTAACATCTAGAATAATACTATAAAAAATAAATAGATGAGATAACATCTAAAAGAGTGCAATCATGGGAAGAAGGAGAACAATAAAGAACAAAGAGAAAGGTGATAGAGTGAAGAGGTGCTACGCGAAAGCACATAAAAGAATGGTCAAAGGATTCGAACCTGATTTCACGACAAATAGGGGAATTAATGCGTATGTGTACCCCTAAACCTAGCATGTGACTATTGGAGTCTTTACGAATCAAAGAATAGTACCCATCAACACTGAATCTGAAGAAGGAATTGCAGAATTTAAATTTGTTTCACTGAGTGCAAGCAAGTCTGGTGAATTTTGCAGGAGGTAAGACTCAACTGATGGAAAGTTGCTTCAGTATATTATTAAAATATTTAGGTATTAT